GTTTCAGAAGGCAAGAGAAAGGCCATGAGGTGTCGGGGTTGGGTGCTCAGGTTAAAGTAAAAGTAGATACACACTCCATAGACAGAGTACGGGCCATCTCTGAAGCTGAGGGACCAAGAGAGGCTGCCACGTGTCATGGTGTTGCCAGTTTTTATGGGCTCGGTAGCTTCATATGCTAACAAGTGGGAAGATCATTCTAACCACCCTGGAGAAGGGGCTGGGATTCCCAGGAATTTGGCCACTGCCCACTCTTCGACCTTTCACGGTTAGCCTTGGAGCTGTCATAGTGCTTGTGGTAGTGCCATTTACCAGGATATATTACAACGAGCATATAATGAAGCTCAAGGTCTGCGAGAAGTCAAATCTCTCACCATATTGAGCCTCAAGGCTCACTGAGGGGTTGAATCTTCCACTATTTTGGTGTTTATTGCTGTGTCATTCCTTGAATGGCTGTGCCCTGCTTCTTTCCCTCCTGTCTCATTCCACCCCCTCAGAGATTTTACTCCCAAAATCTTATGCGAGTGCTACTTCCGGGCTGAGTAGGAGCCTTGCCCCTGCTTATCAGGGAGTGAAAATCTCTGAATGACTAACCTAGGGGCCCCAGGGGCAGGACAGCCTTTTGTTTTTGCATCAGAGGGCAATATGGGCTAGAATCCTCACGCAGCCATCATCTGATGTGAGACTGTTGCAACCTGGAAGACACAAACTTTACCAAGAAATTAGAAAAAGTTTAAGAAGGAAGAGTAGACTTATGACTATTAACAGTAAATGAGACCAAATGTCTTAATGTACAGGTTTTCCTGTGCCACACATTATCGATCTGAAGATAAGCACTCATAGGGGCCGAATATTTCCTGGGCCAGTAACCCCAGTTTTAAACCCGCCGTTTTGACCCCACCATCTCAACCCATTGGGTTAAGAAGTGCAAACATTTTTAGAATCAGAATTACACCAACATTTATGAACTTTTTATGGGGACTACAATTTCCAAAGTGAACAGAAATGTAGTTCCTTGATCTATCCAAGTTGATTTAATTCCTCGATCAACATTGATACAAAGCAATGAAAAGGATTTGCTTTTTTTCTTTCTATTTGCATTTTTATTTGGTAGATTTTTTCCCCCATTGGGATCAGTGATTTTCTATGTAAATTTTACAAGGCTTAATTTTTTTGGCCTGAGCCAAATTTGATCAATTTTATCTTCTGCCATTGTGGGTATCCTCTTCTGACCAGCTATTGCCGCCATGTCTAGCTTTCCTGGGGCAATTTTCTAGCTCTGGTGGTGTCAGGAAAATATGCTTCCTCTATCAATTTTGAATCAATAACCAATTTTACCATGTGCGATATTAGCCCTTGTTGGTTTGGATTTTCTGTTGATTTATTTCTACAAAATCCAATTCTCTTTTCTTTTTTTTAGCTTTCTCAAGGCCTGCTATTTTCCAAAGTATCCACAAATTGTGATTCTGCTCCCTGTTTTTTGCCTATGTCGGATTTTAGTGGTCAGAACACCCTCTGGCTCAAAGACCCGCCCCTGTGATCTGTGTGCCCGAGGCAGGGCCGTGGGTGCGTGCGTGGGTGCGTGCGTGCGTGTGCGTGTGTAGGAATGCCTGCCTGTCCATTTGTCTGCCCAAGTGCTGATGTGGAAGGACTATAGAGGAAGGCACTGTGGGTCTGGCTTCTTCTCCTGCTCTGGAAAAACGTCCCCAAAACATTTTTCCACCTGTGTGTGTTGCCAGAGTAATGAGACCCAGATGTGGGGCTGGGGGCGGGAAGGGGCCCTTGAACTAAGGCCCCCCCCAACTCCCACCCCCACCCCCACCAGGGGAGCATACCTGTCTGGCTGCCTCTGCTTCCATACTCTTCTCGCCCCCTTTCCCTCTCAGCCTCCCCTTGCCTGGGAATGGAAAATTGTGTTTTGGACAACTCAGTTTGCCAAATTCCAGACTCAATAGCTCATCTTGACCCTCCCCTAGCCCTAAAAGGATGACTCCACCTCCTCCTGCTGTTCCAGGAAGTACTTGGTCCTGCTCCCCTGGGAGGAGTGTGGCTCATTCGGCACCAAGCTAAAAAGTCTTTCCTGTCTAATCTTTCAGGCTCTAGCTGGAGTCTGTGCCCACTACTTGAGACTTGGACATGGGTGGGGATTATCTTCCTTCCCCAACCTGATTAGTAATCCAGTGCTAAGCAGGATTGCTTCCACCCTGCCTGGGAGACCCCCCCCCCCACCGCCACCCCTTTAAGAAAACCAGTTCTTACTGTTTGTACTGAAAAGTCTGTGCCGTCTGCCTGACCCAGCAACCAGGTTGTCTAAAAAAACATTTCCAGGCTGAGCCCCAAAATGTGGGTGGTTTCATGTGAAAGGGTTTGAACATATCCCTCTCCTGGAGGCCAAGGTGAGCAGTAATCACACTAAAATAAAACAACACCCGCGATAATAATAGCAACTGAGGTTTCCCTATAATAATAATAACTACCGTTTGCTGCGTGCTGACCGGTAGACATGTAAATGTTTTTCCTGCATGAACTCAGTTAATTCATACAACAACTGCATGACAGTGGAGGAAATGGTGGCACAGAGAGGTTAAGGAACTTACACAAGGTCCCACAGCCAGTAAGCCGTGGAACTCACATTCAAACCCAAAGCTGGTCCTCATGCTTAACCATGCTTAAACCCTCCTTCTCAGAACGAACCAAAGTTGCCTCTGGACAGCAGAAAGCAAGCCCATGGGGATGTCCCATGAGAATGAGGCTCAGCCTTCTTAGGAGAAACTCAAGCTAGAGCTCAGGAAAGACTCCCTAATGGGTGTGTGGTGGTCGGTGCATTTGGGAGCTGCTGGGGTTTCCAGGGCGGGGCCTGGTTCCACTTCAAGGAGCCTTGGTGTGAAACACAGACAGGGAGGAAGACTTAGCATCCGGAGCTGGGCAATGCTGGGGGCAGCCTGGGGCGGGGCAGGAGAAGGGCAAGGTACAACGGGAGCGGAACACGGGTCTGAGGATCCGAAAGATAAGCAGTCAAAGCCTCGCAGGAAAGAGCTCCGGCAAAGGCTGAGAAAAGGTGGAGGAAGTAGGTCGGCCCGACTGCGATGGGGGTGGTGGGGAGGGAAGGGATGCTCAGGGTGAGGAGAGAGTATTAGAAGAGGGAACCGATTGCTAGAAGGGACCCAGGAGGTCATCAGAATATGAAAACAAGATAAAGCCCAGCAAGCAATGACCTCTGGAAATACATATCCTCTGTGGGTATCTATTCAAGTCTTAGTAGCTCAGGAACTCTTACCATGTGCCAGGCCCTCTTCTAAACACTCAGCCTGCATTTTCTCATTTACTCTCAACAACAACCCTAGGAAGTAGGTTTTATTATTATACCCATTTTACAGTTGAGGAAACTGAGGCACAGACTGGTTAAGCAACTTGCAAAGGACATCCAGCTTTGAATCCAGGCTGTCTGCACCCAGATCCCATGCCTTAGTCACTGGACACTGAGCTGGCACCATAGAACTTTCTGTTTGTCCTTCCCCACCCATCATGTGTGTGCGTCTTCCCCCAGATCACAGGTGGGGAAGACTGGGGTGGCTCCGAGGTAGTGCCAAGCTGGGCCCCAAGTAGGGGCTGCCTCCCAGAGCTGATGACTGCTGGCCCTGTGCCCACAGCATCCAGATGGTCCACCACTGCACCATTCGAGGGAACACAGAGGAGCTGCGACAGATGGCAGCTAGCCGAGACGTACCCCGGCCACTCTCCACCCTGCCTATGTTCAACGTGCGCACCGGTGAGCGGCTGCCCCCCCAGGTGGACAGCGCCCAGGTGCCCCTCATCCTGGACCAGCACTGAGGGGCCTGCACAGGTGGGTCCGCAGGGAGATGTCAGCCTCATTTCTGGGAATAAGGTGGCCTCCATCTCAAGGCTGGGGCAGGTAGGGGGATGGGAAGAGATGCACAGATCTGTCTGCCCCTCCGACGCAGCAGTGGATGGGGGCTCAGCTGTGCCAGGGCTATGCCCCCCAGTGCCAAGCACTCGGAGCCAGAGGGTCAGGGTGGGGAAGGCAGGAGAGTGGGGCCTGGTCCACATGGCCCCACTCTCTTCTGTTTGCTGTTTCAGTTCAGCCCTGGCCTCATCCTCCCTTCTCGCCCCATTCACAAGAGCAGCCACGACCCACGGCCGCATCCGCCCTCCGGATTCTGGCTCCTGACCCCATGTACTCCAGGCTTGGAATAAATGGAGAGATGAGAATTGGGTGGGGTGAGGGTGTCTGGGGTCAGGACCCCAGAATAAATACCTGTCACTCTGTTCATCTGTTGCTGACTGCACCTTCCTCTCAGCAGCATCCTTCCCAGCCTTCGTGCCTCTGTGTCTCTTTCCACCTTGTGGGGGCCCTCAGAGGCAGCCAGGGGTGACCAGCTTGCCTTTTGGACTCTTGATATTTTGCTGTTTCTCAAATTCTCTGAAAGTAAGAGGGAAAGACCTGCATAGGCAACCTTGATCTTAATCCTCACATGAACCGACCAGCCTCTGCTAATTGGATCATTCCCCATTTTATAGACAAAGACACTGAGGCCAAGAGAGAAAAAGTGACTTACCCAAGGTCACAGAGCAAGCAAGCAGCAGAGCTTGGATTCGAACCTGGCACCTCCACCTCCACACTGCCTTCTGGAGGGCTGAGGGGTTCTGGAAGCAGGAGATCCAGGCTCCAGATCCCCTGGAGGGGGAGTCCCTTTGTAAGCCGTGTAGGGTGATATGGAGACAGGGTTGGTATTCAGGACTCCGAATGTCCAAGCTTGGTGGACTCCTCATGGACAGGGCCAAGGTCTACAGGACACTGCACAGCCTGCAATCCTTGTTGAGCTTAATGTCACCGGCTTAGCTTGGCCCCGTGTGAGCCCTGGAGAGCTCGGCTGGCCAGGAAGCAGCCGCGGCTTGTTTTCCCCAGGTGGCCACCACCAGCACAGGCTGGCTCTGCCCCTCCGCCAAGGCCACACTCAGTCTCGATGCTGATGCTCCCTTGGGAGGACAGCCCAGAGACTAAGCCCCAGGGGGGCCGTAGTTAAGGAGGGGGCTTCTCAATCCCTTTCTGACTCCTCACACTAGGCCTGCACCCTCCCCACTGACCTGGAGCTGACGCTCAATTATCCCTTCTCCCCATGGTGGGGGTGGGGGTGCGGGTGGGGGCATGGACCAGAGTTTTCCCTCACCTGGAGGCAAAGGCCCAGCCTTGGGGCTGAGGGGAGGCCAAAGGGGCCGGAGCAGCCCCCAGTCTAATGGTGGTGTCCCCAGGGCCAAGGACCCTGAGGAGGGCTGAGTTTCTGAATATGGCACCCCATTGTTCAGAAATGTATAGGCGAGGAGTCATGAGGGCCCCAGGTTGTCCCTGGACCTCCTCCCCTTTGTCTCACTTTCCAGAATCCTTACCTTTGTACTGAATCCATCCACTTCTCATGGCCTCCACAATGACCTTCCCAGGCCAGCACCAGGATCTTGCTCCCGGACCTGCACAACAGCCTCCCTGTGGCCTCCCTGCCTCCTCCCTGCTCCTTCAGTCTGGCCTCCAGCAGCAGTCAGGCCCATCCTTTAAAAGGAACAGTCAGAGAGTCTCGCCTCTCTGCCCTCAACCCTCCAGCGCTTTCCCTTGACACCGAGTGAAGCCACACTCTCGGTACAGACCCGGTTCATCCCTCTGACCTCATCCCCTCCTTACCTCCACTTGCCTGCTCCAGCCGCACCACCTGCTAACACACCCTTGTTGCAGGGCCTTTGCTCCTGTTGTTCCCTCTGCTGGGAACCCCAGACCCCTCCATGTCCACACGACTCCCCAGTGAGTGCAGTGCAGACCCAAACGGCAGGTCCTCAGAGAGCCCCCTCCGGCCTGGCCTCCAGGGCACCCCGCACAGCCTCCTTGCTCTCTGAGGACGTGCTTTGTATGGGTGCCTCCTTGGGGTCAGCCTCAGCTCGGGAATGTAAGCTCCAAGGGGGCAGGATTCTGCGTGCCCCCAGGGGGCGCAGTGCCTGCGTGTGGTAGGCGCTCAGGAAGGAGAGGCCAACGGGGCTGGGCTGCTCAGAGCCCTTAAGGAACTTGACCTTCTCTCTGGGCAAAACGGGTGAGCAAGGCCATTGCTAAAGCTTCCACTATCATCTTCTGGGTCCCCTCCACCCCCAATGGCCACTCTCCACCCGCTAGTCCGTTAGTTAATCCCAGAGCATCCGTGGAGGAAGGAGGAGGCTCCGCCAAGCAGTGCATGTGCTCAATAAACGTTTGTTGACTGAAGGGCTCTTTAGGTAACCACCCCTTACCACACGGGCTCTCTGACAGGAGAGTGCCTCTGACCTCCCATTCGCAATTTCCTCCTTTCCCGGGGGCCCCTCGTCTGGCCGAAACCAGGACCTGCACCGAGTCTGCTCCGATTGGAGGCTCCCTGCAGTCAGCCCGCTGTCTGGGGTGGCTCCTGTTTGATCCTTGCCCTTGTGAAGCGGGGGCTCCCCTCTCCCTGCCTCGTGCTCCCACCTTGGACCTCTGTGCTCTTCCCATGCCGGCCAAAGATGGGAAAGTCTGAGGCCAGCCCCACTTCGGACTTTGCCTTGGGATATTGGCAGCACCTCCCTCCCAGCTCAGCTACAGGAGCACACGGGAGCCTGGCTGCCGGCCGGGGAGGAAGTGGCCCAGACAAGGAGCTGGGAGGATGGCGTGACTGCGGAGGACAGAGGGCTGTGCCCGGGCACAGACACCCACCCCACTGTGCCTGGCAGCACGTGGGGACGGCGTGGACACACTCAGCTCCCTGTCTACTCCCCAAGGGGCAGGATTCCACCTGGCAGCCACACCCCAGCCCCTCACAACCAAGAACAAATAGCAGCTGTCCCCTCCATCCTGAGATTTGACCTCACTTCTCTGTCCCCTCCAAGTGCCACAACCACACTGCCCACATGACCCCGTGTGTCCACCTGCATCCCAGACCCAGCCCTCATGCGTGGCCTGACTCTAGACATTTTCTCACCACCTCAAGTTGGTGAGGAGGCCCTCTGCCAGAAGTGGGGACACAGGGCACCCCTACAGCTAGCCTCAGCCCCCCGTGGACTCTTCTCCTTTATTCTTGAGACACGTGTACACACGTTTCACAGAGAGCTCCTTTGATGTATCTGTTGGGATTTGGAATCATAGTGAGCAGGGCTCCGATCATGGCTCTGACAGTTTACTCGTAGACATTAATTATAACTGTCTTGGGGCTTTTGTGAGAATTTGAGAGGACCAGGAGAGCACCTGGCAACTGGCAGCTCACAAGAATGGAGACTTTATTACATACAAGCACTCCCATGGTCACCCCAAAACCAGAGGTTCATGGGGTTTCCCTGTCCCCTAAGATTGCAATTAAATGAGCTCAGTTTCCATTCTGCAAGTGGAGGCTGAAATTCACCTGGTCCTCGGCTCTGATCTGCTGCTCCATCCTGCTCTATCGGGTACAGCAGCTACTGGCCTCCTGTGGCTGCTGAGCACTTGACATGTAGGTTCCAAATTGAGATGTGCTGCAAATGTAGTGATGAAATGATAATAGTTGGGGATATTGGAGTCAGTAAAAATATCTTATTAAAATTAATATCTCCTGTTTCTTTTAATTTTTTAATATTGCTGCTAGAAAATGAAAACTTACATATGTGGCTCACAATATATTTTTCTTGAGCAGTGCTGGTTTCATTTTCCTTCCTCTGTCTCCACTGCAGATTGATCTAAACCCAGAACTCAGCCCCCTTCCAGAACACCCGCTCACACCAGGCCTCTGCATGTGTCAGAGTTTTCCGAAGACCTGAGGAACGAGAAGGGTTTGCCTCACAGCAGTGAAGTCATCTCACACTTGAATATGTGATCTCCTTGTTCTAAAATGTGCTTTGGTCCCCACCCCACCCCATCTTCCTTTTCCTCCACTGTTTTATGCAGAGAAAATCCCGCTCTCTCCAGCACCCAAGTGCACAAACTCACCTTCCTCCCAGCCTTGCCATGTGCATCTTCTGCAAAGCGTTGGACTCTCTGTGTATGTAAGGGCCTGATTACCCTCCGAAACAAGGGCCATCCTTCTTCCCGGGTCTTGTCTCCTGGTCCGTGGACATTTCTCAGACCAGGAAATGGATGCAGCGACAGAGCTGCTCAGCATCACTGGGGTCCCAGCATCCCTGGACTTCAGGATGGTGGCCTCCTCCAGCACGCAGCTCCTCCTCCTTTCCCCTCACTCCTCCCTGCTCTATCTGTCCCTTCATCCTCATCACACAGACCCTCTGGTGCCCTCTGTCCTGCCTACATGCACATACGGCCCAAATGCCTAGACACACGCATTCTCACAGCTCAGAGAGCATCTCTCCGGCTGCGGGGAGTGTGTGTGTGTGTGTGTGTGTGTGTGTGTAAGCTGTCTCCATGTGCAAGATCCTGCTCACCCTAAACACCCACTCGTGTGCAGGGCCCCTCTGAACACAGACGTGTTTGCTCCTGGGTGGGTGCGTAGTCACAGGACGACTGAGGCGGACCCACCTCACTCACCACACAGCCTCCCACACTCGTGGCCTTGTCTCTGAGAGCCCCATGTTCTCACACGCCCCCACTGCATGCCCCCCCGCCTGAGGCTCCCTCACTCCAGCTAGAAACTCCTCTCAACCTCACCCAGCTCTGTCTAGAGGGCTTGGAGGCACCTGGGAAGTTGAGGGTTAAGAAGCTGGAAAAAAAAAGAGAGAAAAGCCACCATATTTCGGTTCTAGAAAATCCTACCAGGAGGTGGGCAACTGCCACAAGAGACCCAGGCTTCTGAGAAAGCAGCAAAAGTAAAAAAACAATTCCAAATGAAGTCTCCTCCTTTTCTACAATTATCCATCTGGATTTGACTGAAAAATCAGCTACAAGGACGTGGCCCGTCCTCTCAGAGAGAAGGCAACAATGAGCCAGCAGAGCAGGGTGGGGAGGCCGCGCGGCGCCTCCGGGCGGGCAGCGGGTCTGGGGGAGCGGGCGTGGGTAGCTGTATTTAGGGCAGCAGTGATGTCAGGGGAGAGGAGGGCTTCAGTGGGGAGTGTGATACAATGGTCCCTTTGTCCCCCTCCCCTCCTGTCCGGCGTACACACTGGAACCACAATCTGGCCCCACATCATGCGACACTGGGAGGGCCGCACAGTGGGGCTCTGCCACCACTCCTGCCCTGACGTGCGTCGTCCCCTCGTGTGCCCTCACACGTGTGTGTGCACACACTGCCTGCACATGCGCGTGCCCACCAGTAGATTTGCACACATGTAGTGTGCGGCGTAGTCACTGCTTTAGCTAGAGCTGTGCTGCCCAGCACCTTCGCCAA